GTAAAAAGACCTTCTGGGATTTCGTCAGCCTCATGTCCATCCAGAGGTATGTTTTGCTTTCCCATAAGAATCAAGATTTCAAATAGAGATTTTAGATATTCTTTGTTTTCCTTCTCTTCAAGGGTTAGAAGTAAAATGTCCTCATCCTGTTCTTCACCCCCCTCTTCTACACTGGGATTCTGAGCATTGCTGTTGTTGGTTTCTTTATGTTTTTGTTCTTGTTCGGAAGTTTCATCAATTGTTTTCTGTTTCAGTGTCCTGATTTCATCTCCACTCAATTCTTTTATTTGTTTTCTGTGTCTACTGTGTGGATTGTTCAAATGACTGGTAAGATCAAATATTGTTGGTATTGCATTATCTCGAAGAACTGTCCTATAAGGACTAGTTCTACAGATCATAGAGGTCTCAAAGTGTTTGGCACATAATCGATAATGTTTATTTAGTTGATCAGGTGTTTTATCTTCTAAGTCTGCTCGCCTACAATTCTCCACCCACTTCCGGCATCTGGCCGGATCCCGCGGGAACCTGAAAAAGGCCAGGTCGGACTGCGAGCTCTTCCGTGTGCAGTTGGGGGCAGCACAGAAGTTCGGCATCGTTGCCCGCCCGCCGGCCGGCCCAGCCCTCCCCTCCCCGCCTCCTCAGGGCAGTCCGCCCACCTGTCGGGGCCGGGAGCCAGGCCGGCTGGCCGGCTCGGCAGGGCTGGCGTGCGGGGGAGGGGCCGAAATGTGGAATTTAGAAGCCAATATATGGAGGCTATATGTACTCACTATTTTCCAGGCCCTCTCATTGGGAAATGTATATGTGCATGAGTGTCTGTGTGTGTGTGTGTGTGTGTGTGTATGTGTGTGTGTGTCCCCTCGATTCTACTTAGGCTCTGATGTCGCATGTGCTGGACTGCCCCCAGCCCATGTGAATGCCTTCCTCAACTTGCTCAGACTCTGACATCCAATGCCAGTCCATCCTTTTACAAGTATGCCCCCCTCACTTGCTAGGCTTTGATACCCTGCACTTGGACTCCCCTGTGTGTGGACACTATCCTTACTTCGTTCAGTCTCTGACTCCCCTTGTCAACCTGCCTCATGCTTGTAGATTTACTCCCCAACTGCTAAGGCTCTGACTCTATACCCCAGGCCAGCTTCCTATTTGGATACCCTGCAGACTGAGCTGAATCCCCAAGTCAAGCTGCTCCCTTGCATGGATACCCTCCTCTTTCTGACTTGGGCACTGACTGCATATGCCAGGACAGGTTCTAGCATGGACACCTTATTTATCCTAATCAGGCTGTGATATCTCATAGTAGCCTGTCCTATCCCCCTTTGTAGATCTCATTTCACCCTCTTTGAGTTCTGACTCCCCACCATAGGCTACTGCAACTGCATGGATATCCTTTTCACCTCACTTCAACTCTAACGTCTCACTGTGAGCCATCATGGTTCCACTCTGATCCCCTACCATGGATGTCAAACTTGATCTGTCTCACCTGATGGCTTTATGATGACTTCTTCAGCAAGAGGAGGAAGGGGAAGGGTGTGCTTGAGTTGAATTTTAAAAGACAAGTAGGCATTGCTAATTGAGGATAGATAAAGGGCATTTTGGGTAAAGGAACTCATATGTGAACTATGGCATATAGAA